GTAATAATAATAATAATAATAATAATAATAATAATAATAATAATAATAATAATAATAATAATAATAATAATAATAATAATAATAATAATAATAATAATAATAATAATAATAATAATAATACTTCTTTATGGCATGGGCTCCCCGTGGACATGTCAGGCCTCTTCCCTCACATCTTTCGAGAGGATGCTAAAGACATGTTTGTTCCAGGAAGCATTCAAGAGCATCCTCCTTTAAGTCTCTCTATATATACTCTCTGGAGCCTGCCATAATTTGGGGTTATTTGATGTACAGTAGGTATTTATTTCATTGGTTTTGTTGGGTGGGGGAATATCAGGTGTACTACACCATAATCAGAGGAGGAACATACTCCTCAGTCCAAGGGGGCTGCAAGAAGGAGGAAGAAGGTCTCAGGAGGGAGAGTTGCAGACCAAGTGGGGAGAAGAGGTGAAAGTTGCAGAGCAGCAAATATGCCATTTGACCTCTGGCGTCATACATGCCAGGTCTGGGTCACTGGCCCAGTAGGTCACTAGCCACTGGGTCAGAATATAGGACTGTGAGGTCAGGAGAGAGAGGTCATCAAACCAAAGTACAAGAGCAGAGGGACTGCTTTCTTCACCCACTGGTCTCGTTTTAGGATTGATTACCATATTGAGGGCTGTTGAAAGATACAACCCCCTTCCCACGCTTCCTCTATGTCCCCAATGTCCATCCATGTGGCACATAGTTGAGGAGGAGCACATTTTTGCAGGAGAGACTGGGGGGAAAACCCAGAGAACACTTATATCCATAGTATGCTCATTTAGTAATATTTAAGGCATGAAAATGTTGCCGTAACTCTTCACCTGCTTTTCAAGCCACCACAAAGAAATGAAGAGATGCAGTGGTTTGGGACAACTGCTGAGGTCCGTGCCCTGGAGCATTCCCACTGGCTGCACAGTCACCTATGCATGGTGAAATGATATGTATGGTAAGGTAAAGTGAAGGAGAGAGCCTGGTAGCTTCTGTATGCTGACTTCAAGGGCACACTGAGCAAGGCCTTGTGCTCTTGTGACAAGGTGCTGTTCCCTACTGCATCCCCTGAGGCACTACGCCGGAGGCTTCATGTTACACAGCCTTGGTTTTTGGTGACTCAGTCCCCTTTTCTGCTCTGTATTCCTGTGGCTTGTGCCATGGGCAGTATAGGGGGCTGTGTGTGACATCAGGAGTAATGGCTGCTTTAGGCAGGAGCTTTCATTTGGTTGCTTTGATGTAGTTTAGTCGTTAAGTCATGTCCAACTCTTTGTGACCCCATGGACCAGAGCATGCCAGGCCCTCCTGTCTTCCACTGCCTCCCGGAGCTTGGTCAAAAAATTGTGTGGATATAGATGTTTTGTCTCCACCACTGGAGCTACAGGAGGTTTGGATACAGTGGTTTTTATGTTGTGGTAAGAGGAATGGTGCTAGCTCCTCAAGGTTCTCCAAATCAGCCTTGGGTCCCCGGACATCGCTGTATTTCAATATGCAGATGCCCCAGACAACAGGAAAGAGTTCTGGGAATTATAGCCCCACAATATATGGGGACCCATGGCAGAAAACTACTGCTCTGTAGTTAGGATTGCTTTGGCCATACCAAAGAGTAAGTTGGGAAAATTAGTACTGTATTATTGGCTAATTTAATACAGTATAACAAACATATTAAAAGAGTCCTGTCCCTGTTGGGGCCCCTCTCACAAAGGAATATGTGGTGGTATAAGTAACCTCAGCTA